GCAAGTTCTGACTGCAGGATGAGGTGGCAAACAAAGTGAAGTGGTCCAGAGAAAAGCTGAGGCTAAAATTGGCCCTGTGCCAGAGCAGCCTCGTGCAGTGCTTGTTGCTGTCCCTGAGTGTCCCATTGCAGTGGATATTTCCAAGGGTGCCTTGTGCTGGGGAGCACTGGGGCAGTTCCCTTTCCCTGGGCAGGGCAGGCAGGGCACGTTTCCCCCCTCGAGGGTGGCTCCACAGTCCCCCCCTGTGCCCTGGGAGCGTGGCAGAACACCTGGACCCACTGTCCTTGTCAGAGAGGGCACAAGGGATGGTTGGATGGGGGAGGGAATGGCTCAGGGAGTACAAGCACCATTACAATGAGTAGGGCAGCACCTGGAAAGGAAGAAGGGGAGTTAATCCAGACAAAATCCAAGCACCTGCCCAACCTGTGATATTTTTAGGAACTCAGTGGTGCTGTGGTCCCCAGGAAGTATTGCCCAGGACTAGGCAGGAGACTTCAGGCTCTGTCCCCCCCAGAGCAAGTGTCCAGGGGCAGGCAGTGGGGAGGCAGCTCTGTTGTTGAGGATGGGGTTATTTTCTCTGCTTTATTTTGTCTCCAGAGATGTTCTTCCCATTAATCCAAACTGACTCCATCTCCTAACTCTCTGAAGAGGTTTTCTGCTTTTTGTGGGAGGGTAAGGTTTGGGTTCTAACTATAGAAGAGCCAACAAAATAAAGGCTTTGTGGCAAACAAATGGTGTCTCCCAAACTCTTTGTACTTCAAATAGATGCCTTTATTCTTAGTTTTTTCTTATTGGTATTCTCAAGGTACTTAATACCCTGTCTACAGTTATTTATTTTGGCTTCTCTTTTTTATTTGTTACAGAGTTGATGTGACTGACTTCTTTTTGAAATGCAGCAGTGCTCTCAAGGATATTTCCCCCGCACTCCTGGGCTTGTGCAGGGCTGTTGAGTCCGTGTGTGCCACTGTTCTTGTCCCAGGGGGACCGAGTGACATTTGGAACCAAACCTGGGGACTTGAACTCTAGGAATGTTTCTGTGTCTTTGAATTTTAAATTGCACATGAAGCAGAAATATGTTTGTGTTTTCCAGGTTATATTGTCATGAAAATAGAAATGCATCATTGGATCTTACTCCTCTGAGGGCAAACCACCAGACTGATCATTTCTTAGTCCATCAGACCCAGTGCCAGGAACTCAGAGGGCTGTTTGTGTGCAAATGTGCTGAGTGGTGGTGGCCCCCGTGAGACTGTGACCAGCTGGAAATGTGTGTGTGTGTGCAGAGCTGGGCTGGATCCCTTGGGATTTGGCTCCCAGATCCCCCCCAGCCTTCAGGAAAACCAGAGGCCACCGAACCCTGAGGGAAGGGAGTCCCATTTGCAGAAGGGTTTGTAGATTGGGGAAAAGCTCTCCAGAACAAAGCCTGTGTTCCAAACCCCTTCAGGCCAAAGTCAAGGAGCACAAACCCTGGAGTCATCAAGTTATGAAGTTTGGTTCAAACCATTTCCTAATAAGTCAGTTTTAATGAAGTGTTAAAAGGAGAACTTAAATAAGGGTAATTTCTGATGGAGAATAATGGGAAGAAGTGGTTTAAGTTCCCTAAACATGTTTTATATCAGTCCATGGTTATTTAATTGAGCATTGTTTGGAATTTTTCTTTTTGCATTCGTTCCTGGTGTGCTTTTCTCTATCTAAGGGATGTTTGGAGGTCTTTTTGATTGCTTGAAGGTTTTTAATGTCAGTGCTGGATTGGGGTGGACAGTCATTGTAACATGATTTAGAGTTGGATGCATTTTATTCTGTGTGCCCTCTTTGATGTCTCGTGTTCAGCGAGTGACTGGTCAGAGTTTGGCCCAAGCCTTTGTTTTTCAGGTGAAAAACCCGAAGGGGGAATTGTAGTTGCAGCTTTGCCCTTGAGCTGCAGCTGGAGCCTGGCCAAAGAACAAGGCAAAGCTCCCTGGGGAAGGAAGGGGGAGCCAGAGAAGAAAAGCAGCTGCAGCCAGAAAGGTGGGTTTGGGCGGGAGAAGAGGGGCTGTGACCCAGCAAGGGGCTCTGGAGGGCTCTGGGGTCCCTGTAATGGCTCTGGGGTCTCTATAGGGGCTCTGGGGTCTCTATAGGGGCTCTGGGGTCTCTATAGGGGCTCTGGAGGGCTCTGGGGTCCCTATAATGGCTCTGGGGTCTCTGTAGGGACTCTGGGGTTTCTATCGTGGCTCTGGGGTCCCTATAATGGCTCTGGGGTCTCTGTAGGGGCTCTGGGGTCCCTCTCGTGGCTCGGGGTCCCTCTCGTGGCTCGGGGTCCCTCTCGTGGCTCGGGGTCCCTCTCGTGGCTCGGGGTCCCTCTCGTGGCTCGGGGTCCCTCTCGTGGCTCGGGGTCCCTCTCCTGGCTCGGGGTCCCTCTCCTGGCTCGGGGTCCCTCTCCTGGCTCGGGGTCCCTCTCCTGGCTCGGGGTCCCTCTCCCTGCCGGCACAGGAGCTGCTGCCGCCCCAGCAAGAGGCAGAGGAGTCGCTGCCCAGAAGCAAGAACTCACTGAGAGCTGAACTGGGGCCGTGTGGGCAGGGCCAGAGGGGAGCAAAGGAAGGGATTTGTTGCTAAGAAAAGAAATAAAGTTTGGGTCATTTGTTGGGGAGATTTGTGTCAGTTTCTGATCATTTTTGGGGGTTATTTTTAGTGAGTTTCTGGTCATTTTTGGGGGAGATTTGGGTCAGTTTCTGGTCATTTTTCGGGATGATTTGGGTGAGTTTTGGGTTTATTTTTGTGGTAATTTTGGGTCAGTTTCTGGTCATTTTTTGGGGTGATTGGGCTGACTTTTGGGTCATTTTTTTGGGGAGATTTGGGTGAGTCTTGGTGTCAGTGTTTTGGGGTTTTGGGGTCAGTTTCTGGTCATATCTGGGGCTGATTTTGTATCATTTTGGGTCAGTTTTGGGGGGGGTTTTTTGCATTTTTAGGTCAGGTTTTGGGCCAATTTGGAGTTAGTTTTTGAGGTGATTTGGGCCAGTTTTGGGTCAGTTCTGGATCAATTTTTGGAGTGAATTGGATCAGTTTTTGTGTCACTTTTTGGGGAGATTTGGGTGAGTTCTGGGTCATTTTTGGGGAGATTTGAATCAGTTTCTGGTAGTTTTTTGGGGAGACTTGGGTGAGTTCTGGGTCTCTCCTGATTGTAATTCCTTCAGGCTCCTCTCCTGATTTTAATTTTTTTAGGCTCTTCTCCTCATTTTAATTTTTTAGGCTCCTCTCCTGATTTTAATTTTTTTAGTCCCCTATCCTGATTTTAATTTTTTTAGTCCCCTCTCCTGATTTTAATTTTTTTAGTCCCCTCTCCTGATTTTAATTTTTTTAGTCCCCTCTCCTGATTTTAATTTTTTTAGGCTCCTCTCATGATTTTTATTGTATTAGTCCCGTGTCCTGATTTTAATTTTTTCAGGCTCTTCTCCTGATTGTAATTTTTTTAGGCTCTTCTCTTGATTTTAATTCTCTTAGGTTCTTCTCCTGATTTTAATTCTCTTGGGCTCTCCTCCTGATTTTTATATTTTTAGACTCTTCTCCTGATTTTCATTTTTTTTAGGCTCTTCCCCTGATTTTCATTTTTTTTTTTTAGGCTCTTCTCCTGATTTTAATTCTCTTAGGAGAAGAGCCTAGAGAATTAAAACCAGGAGAAGAGCCTAATTACACAAGTAAATTTTCAAACCACCAGCAATCACAAGCCAATTATCCGATTTCCCAAAAGAACTACACGAACAAATACGGTTATAAAACAAAAAAAAAAATGCCATAAGTAAAAAATCGCATAGCAACAGTGCCCCCTGGTGACAGAGAAAAGGAATTGCACATATATTTGAGATGAAATACTGCCACCTGCTGACGGAAAACAGGAACTGCATTGAAAAAATTTTGAACAGCGCATGCGCAGTCGTTGGCAAAACGCCGGCGATCACGTGGTAAGTAAGGGCAGGCAGGAGAGGGACCGGCGACGCATGCGCAGTGGCTCTCGTGCCGGTGCAGCGCTCCCTGCTCGAGTTAAGGGCCGGTTCCGGCGGCAGGGCGGGACTCGCGGCCTCCCGTCTGTCCCGGGGTGTGCGGGGGGGGAATAACGTGAAGATTTCTTGGGGTGAAAGCGCAGAAATTAGCGAGGAGGGACGCTAATTTGGGTAAACTCGGTCACCGGAAGTAGTGAGCGACCGGAAGTCCTCCAAGGCCCCGGCCCGGAAGTCCGCCAAGCCCATAGCAAAGATGGCGCCACCAGGACCGGAACGACCACACTAAAGATGGCGGCCCCTGCCCGGAAGTTCGCCAAGCCCACAGTAAAGATGGCGCCGCCAGGACCGGAACGACCACACTAAAGATGGCGGCCCCGGCCCGGAAGTTCGCCAAGCCCACAGTAAAGATGGCGCCGCCAGGACCGGAACGACCACACTAAAGATGGCGGCGAGAGGCTTCCGCCGCGACCCGGACCCCCACCCCGCGCCCGCAGCGCCGTCTCGCCGCGCTGCTTCCCGCTGCGGGGACAGGGCGGGGCGCTCGGCGGCGCCGGGCAGCGGGCCCCGGCAGGTTCGTGGCGGCGGCAGCACCGGCGCCGGCAGCCCCCGTCTCGGGGCCGCGGCGCGCGAGGACCGCATGGCGCGCACGTCGCGCCGCCCTCTCGCCCCGCTCCGCTCCCGCTCCCGCCCCTGCCCCCGCTTCTGCCCCGCTCGCTCCCGCCGTGCCCTGGAGATGCTATCGGGGCTGCGCCGCCGCCTTCCCCCCCCGGAAGCGACCCACGGCGGCAGATTCGACGGAGATCGACCCCGGGGTAAGCTGGGCGCGTCCAAAGGCGCCGCGGGTCTCGCCAAGGAGGGGGGGGGGGGGGGGAGGCGCGCGGCTGCAGTCCCGCTCCCGGCCGTGTCCGCCAGGCGGCGACTGTGAGGCAGGGCCCGGCGCTCGGCGGCGCTCTTGCAAGCGACGCCCCTGGCAAAGCGGCGCTGCTTGGGCACTGCCGGCCTTCCCCCGGAGTGCCCGGGCTGGCCCAGCACCTGGCCGAACCTCTTAGGGAAGAGGCAAGGAACAACTGCGCTTCTTCTGCCCTTTCTTTAGCCCGGGACTGGAACACAGACAAAATCAAGGGGCTCTTGGACCTGTGCAGGCTCCGAGCAGTTTTCAGCCTTCCTTAGCAGGGCATTCTCACCCTCCGAAAAGCTGAAAGGCTTTAACAGCTGGAGACGCGCCTGCAGCTGTGCAGATTAATGTAGTTTCTTTTAGGAAATGAAGGGGAAGTTTTCCTGTTGGGAGCCTAAATACCGAGTCTACTCTGCTTTTTCAATCAGGTGACGAAGCTTAGGGAAGAAAAGACCAAAGGCCTCGAGGTGAGTACATTCTACCGAGTTCTGCTTTTCTGGCATCGGTTTGGGAAAATCACGTGAAATTCTAAAAAGCTTCTCTCCGTGTTTTCTAGTTGTTTTTTCAGCCTTGCTCTAAGTTTCATGTAGAAAAGGGCATAGAATTATTAGAACAGACAAACTAGACTTCCTCGGGAGAGATGGAAGAAAAGTCTGCTGATTCCAGTTCTGCTTTTCTTGTCTTCCCTTCGACTGTCGTTTTCTCTCCCCTGCTGTTCAAATAGGCTGCAGTTAATTGCTCTGCTGAAGAGTTTGCTGTCCTAAGTGTCTGTCAAATTGATGCCTTCAACTCAAGACAGCACCTGCTCCTTAGTTACAAAAAGTTCCTCACAGGAAATGTTCAGGCGTGCCCATAAATCTCCTCGCTGTTTGTTTGGGAGAACAGGCTTTTCTCGTCTGTAACAGAACAGTCGTGTCATCTGCTCTGGAATGCTGGTGGCAATCTAGTCAGAAGAGGACCCCGTGCTTCACTAATTTTCCCTTTTTGTTGTTGGGGGTGACTTCTTCCCAGGCATGTTATTCTTGACCCCCCGGGGCAAACGGAGGTGTCAGCGTCAGGAGCCATCCTAACTGAGGCCCTGGGAGGTCAGTGCTTTTTGTGGGACTACGGTGAAGCTGTCTGTGGGAATGACCTGGCTATGGCTCAGGGTAGTCCTAATTAAGGTGTCTTTTACTCCGTGTTCCCAGGCTGCCTCTTTCCCTTCGGTCGCCGTGGGACGCCTCTGGCAGGACTAACCCTGTGGCTTTTATGTCCAACGTGCTTTGCTGTGTGTGCCTGCAGGTAAGAAAAGCTGGGAGTGCAGTCCCTCTGCTTTGGTTGCTGTGTCTCTTTGGGAGTGATTTTGGAGGGGAATCCCAGAGCGATTTGGTTTGAAGGGGCCCTTCAAAGGCCAGCCTGTCTTCCGTGGGCAGGGACACCTTCCACTGTCCCCGGTTGCTGCGAGTCCCGTCCAGCCTGGCCTGGAACACTTGCAGGGATGGGGCAGGCTCAGCTTCCCTGTGCAGTGTGCTCTGATATCTCTCCACTGGCATCCTGAAAAATTTTGTCAGCACGTTTTGTGTGACAATGGTAAGCGGGACCTGGGTGAAAATTGGGGTTCTCTGAGGTGCAGAGGGAAAGAATTCTCCTTTGAAGTCCAATGTAATTCAGTTTTGCACGAGTCTTGTCTGACTTATGTTTGAATTGCTTTCTATTCTAGGCAGTTCTTTTAAATTAAACTTTTGTGTCTCCCCCCCAGTATCTTGTACAAGACAAAGCTACCTTTCCTCGTGGGAACGGACTGGCCGGGCTTTGGCAATCTGGCCCCTCGAAAGACTAAGTGACCTCTTCCAACAGGGGAAGACTTTCTGGCAAGCGGTGCCAGGAAGAACTGGAGTTTCTGGAGAATAAAAGCTGGAAGCGTGCCCCTGAAAATCCCCAGCCCTGGGTGGTCAGTGGTCTGACTTGCACGGACCGGTGGCCTTGGCCAGGAGCGGCCCTGCGGGAAGCGCCTTTGCCCAGGCTGTAATTTTAATTTCCCTTGGATGCTTGGCAAAGCCCCTCTGGGTGAGCCCCAGTGCCTGGCAGGAGCAGAGCGGGCTTCCAGGGAGGTATTCACCTGGTCAGCGTCAGGAACCATCCTACCTGAGGCCTCGGTGAGTGCTTTTTGGACGACTGGACGGTGAAGCTGTCTGTGGGAATGACCTGGCTATGGCTCAGGGTAGTCCTAATTAAGGTGTCTTTTACTCCGTGTTCCCAGGCTGCCTCTTTCCCTTCGGTCGCCGTGGGACGCCTCTGGCAGGACTAACCCTGTGGCTTTTATGTCCAACGTGCTGTGCTGTGTGTGCCTGCAGGTAAGAAAAGCTGGGAGTGCAGTCCCTCTGCTTTGGTTGCTGTGTCTCTTTGGGGGTGATTTTGGAGGGGAATCCCAGAGCGATTTGGTTTGAAGGGGACCTTCAAAGGCCAGCCTGTCTTCCGTGGGCAGGGACACCTTCCGCTGTCCCCGGTTGCTGCGAGTCCCGTCCAGCCTGGCCTGGAACACTTGCAGGGATGGGGCAGGCTCAGCTTCCCTGTGCAGTGTGCTCTAATAGCTCTCCACTGGCATCGTGAAAAATGTTGTCAGCGTGTTTTGTTGGACGACGGTAAGCAGGACCTGGGTGAAAAGGACATTCTCTGAGGTGCTGGGAGAAGGAGGACTCGTGCGGGCACCTCCAGAGACAGCGGGAACGGGAGCGTGCTGCGGAGGAGGGAAATTCCAGGGGGTGGGGGCCGAGAAATTTGGCCTTCCCTCGCCCTGTGCTCTGCACTTAGCAGTGGGTCAAGTGCAGAAGTTTCCTGGGGACCCTGGGAAATGATGCCGGGTCTGCCAAGAAAAGTGGGGCCAAAGGAGCAGGACCTGGGTCTGCCAGCGTGGGAGAAACAAGGGACGGGTCATCCTCTGCCTCCAGGAGGGAGGGCAGCAGGAAAGGCCACGGACTAAAGCACTGAAGTGCCGTTCCCCAGGGAGCCCCTGCCCAGACCTGAACTTGCTTCTGCACTTGCTGTCCCTTTCCCAGCGGAGCCGAAGCGTCGGGTGCCGCTGCCGGGGGGATGGAGCTGCCAAGGACAAGCTGGGAGGGTGTTTGCGAGGGAAGGGGGTAGAAGGAGCTCTTGATGTGCTTTTTTTACTTCTTCATCCCACAGAATTGCCACGAGAGGAAATACTTCAGAGGGGCTTCCCTCCAGATAAGGCCTGAAGATGCCAGGAGGTTTCAGCCGGGAGGAAAGGAGCTGTGGAAGAAAAGCAGCCTAAAAACAGCCAGTGGGGATCATCAGGTTTTCCAGCCAAGAAGAACAAGGAGAGAGATGAGGGAATGGGGTTCCAATTCCTAATGCTTTGGTGGGTGCAGGAATGATTTCTGTGTGTTTTCCAGTCCCTTTGGATTCCTGAGATGATTTTAAAATGATGGCTTTAGCAATCAACTAAATCGCAGATGTTGTTTTTGAGAGGAAATGATGCCAAAGAAATGCAGAGTTTTGGGTCAGTTTTGGGGATGATTTGGGTCAGTTTTTGGGGTCAGTTTGGGGTCATTGTTTGGGGTGATTTGGGTCAGCTTTTGGGATGATTGGGGTCAGTTTTGGGTCAGCTTTTGGGATGATTGGGGTCAGGTTTTGGGGTCAGTTTTGGGTCAGCTTTTGGGGTGATTTGGGTCGGTTTTGGGTCAATTTTTGGGGAGCACTGGGTGTTACTGGGGGTTGTTGAGGAGCACTGGGTGTTACTGGGGTGTACTGGGGAGCACTGGGTGTTACTGAGGGTTGTTGGGGAGCACTGGGTGTTACTGGGGAGCACTGGGAGAGAAAATGAAAAATAAAGAGAATAAAAAATAAACGAAGTAAAGAAGGAAATATAAAAAAGAAAATTTAAAAAAAAAGGCAAAAAAACTAAAAAGGAAATAAAATGAAAATGAAATAAAAGAGAGAAAAAAAAAAAAGAAACCCCTTCTTGGGCACCCCGTTTCCTCTCCTCCCCCCCCCCGAACCGTAAATTGCGGGGTCATCACCCCTAAAATGTGAGAAGGGGACCCCGAAATGTGGGTGAGGGAACCCCAGGGAGCCGGAAAAGTGGAGGGGGAGCCGCAGTAAGAAAGCGAAGCCGGGCGGTCGGGCGGCGGGGTGGGGGGGGGCGCATGCGCAGTCGTTGGCAAGACGCCGGCGATCACGTGGTAAGTAAGGGCAGGCAGGAGAGGGACCGGCGACGCATGCGCAGTGGCTCTCGTGCCGGTGCAGCGCGCCCTGCTCGAGTTAAGGGCCGGTTCCGGCGGCAGGGCGGGACTCGCGGCCTCCCGTCTGTCCCGGGGGGTGCGGGGGGGGAATAACGTGAATTTCTCCTGATTTTAATTCTCTTGGGCTCTTGTCCTCATTTTAATTTTTTTAAGGCTCTTGTCCTGATTTTAATTCTCTTGGTTCAAACCATTTCCTAATAAGTCAGTTTTAATGAAGTGTTTTCCAGTCCCTTTGGATTCCTGAGATGATTTTAAAATGATGGCTTTAGCAATCAACTAAATCGCAGATGTTGTTTTTGAGAGGAAATGATGCCAAAGAAATGCAGAGAGAGAGCATGGAATCATCCTGGGATCCTGGAGTGGTTTGGGTTGGAAAGGATCTCAGGGATCATCTCCTTCCACCCCCTGCCACAGGCAGGGACACCTTCTAATAGACCTCCAGCCTGGCCTTGGCCACTTGCAGGGATGGGGCAGCCACAACTTCTCTGTGCCAGGCCACCTCCCCACCCTCCCAGGGAAGAATGTCTCCCTTCTGTGCAATCTTTCCCTTTCTTCTCTGCAGGAAGTGGGCTGGGACAAGGGAATTGGCTCCCACGAGGCCGAGGATCAGAGCGGGCTGTGCACAGGGGACAACTTCCACTTCCGAACGGGGAAGGGCCCCTTCGTGCCCACCCCTGGCAAACTGGGACAGAGTAACATCTGCCTGCAGCTGGCTGGAGTTCCCGTTGGCTCTGGGCTTTCAGCCCGCCGGGGCTGCGGCGGGAGCCGCGCGGAGGGAACGGGGGCCGGGGCCGCGCCGAGGGCCGGGGCCGGGCTGAGCGGGCGGGGCGGGGCCGCAGGGCCAGGCGGGCTGGGATTGGGCGGAGGCGCTCGAGTGCTGATTGGGCAGCGCTGCCGGCCCGCGGTATAAAGGGCCGGCGGGGCAGGTGGGGGCGGTTGTGTGTGGGGGCTGAGGGTGCGGCCCCGCTGCTGCCCGGGCTGCGGAGGGGAGAGCGCCTTGGCCGCTGGGTTTGTGCACCGGGGCAGCCGGGGGCGTTTAGGGGCGCCTTGTGCTGGGCGGCGGGGCCCGGGTAAGCCCCTTACCTGCCGGGTGCCCCCGGGGAGAGCCGTGGCATGGCTGTGGGTCCTGTGCTCTCTGGGTGTCTGAGGGTTTGCTTTGGGATCCCAAACCCTTTCCCCGTGCAGGGTTATGAGGCAAAGACTGCTTTAACTTGGTTTTTTGGTGCTGCGTTAATGCTTTTTGCTCGTTCTGTGTCCATTTGCAGCCTCGCTCGTGGTTTCCCCTGGTGTGGAGGCGAGTTGTGCTTCCTGCTGGGAGAGAGAACGGCCTTGGGAAGCTGCTCCATGAGCCACAGCTGTGCCGAGCCCGGCAGTCTGTCCAGGTAAGAGCAGGGCTTCTACTGCCCGTGAGGAGCTGGGTTTGCTGTTGGAAGATAGAATGTGCCTATGCCTTTAAATGCAAGGACAGGCAGAAGCCGGGAGGGACCCTGAGCAGGTTTGGTGGCACGACAGCAGTTTGAAAAGACCTTGACTGTGGGAGAAATGTCCAGGAAAACGATTCCTTTTTTTGCAGGGAGGCAGTTTGCGAGGACAGGGGGGTTGCTGTGCTCTCTAGCAAAACTACTGACCTTGGGATGTCTAGGGTGGGGAGATGTTGGCCACTTGTGGGCTGGAGCAAAGGTGTGTGGGTGCCTGTGTGTGACAGCCGTGGGTGTGCAGGAAGGGGGGTTCTGGTGCCATTGGAGCTGCCAGGGAGCCAAAAGGGGCACGGTTGTCTGAAAAAGGCAAAAAGTCTCAGTCTCTGTTGACACGTGTACCAAAGGAGATGCAAATTTTCCCTTTCTCGTTGCAGACTTCGCAAAGCTCCCCAGGAAAGGAAGCTTTATATTCCTCCCCAGCTTTATGCTAAAGGTTTCCTTCCTCCTGTCTCAGCACCCTTTCTGCTGTTGGGAGAGCACGAGGTGGATGGAGAGGATCCCCAGGCATCTGCAGGCACAAGGGACTCATACAACTGCGATTTTCCTCCAGCCCTCGTGAAAGGGACTTCCAGGATACTCTTGGGAATGTACCAGCTCTCCTGCTGGAGCTTTTCTATGGAATATTTGAACACAAAGGGTAAAACTAAAGTCAGGTCTGTTCTGGA